CCTCGGGCTTCTTTTCTAGCGTTTAGGCCTAGCTCCAGCTGACTTCCTGCTCAGAAAGGAAGGTCCCTGCTAGCACTGGGGCGAGAAAAAGCAACTGGGGCGAAGCTAGGCCTAGCTCAGCCACGACAACTTTCAGTTGTGGCATGGAGCCAGCGTTTTGTCCGAAGACAATCTTCCGTGGTCACATGGCCAGTGCGACTTAGACACGGAACGCTGTTACCTTCCCACCGAGGTGGTCCCTATTTATCTACTTGCATTTGCATGCTTTCGAACCGCTAGGTTGGCGGGAGCTGGGACAAGCGACGGGCGCTCACTCCGTCGCGTGGATTCGAACTTACAGCTGAAGATCTACAGATCTTACAGCACAGAGGCTTCTGCAGTTTAACCTGAAGTGCCACCACGTCCCTGGGGGAGAAGTATATTAGAACAAAAAAAAAAAACAGCCAGCGTAGTGGAGTTCTCAGAGAAACAGTAGATCTCAAGAGACCTGGGTTCAAATTTCTATACAGCTATGAAGCTCCTTGGTTGATTTCAGATGAGATAATGGGTTCCCTTGTCGTACTACTCTAACAGTTAGGAAATCTCTCCTGAGATTCAGCCAAAATCTGACTTCTTGTGACTTCTACCCATTGTTTTGTGCCCTGCACTCTGGGATGATCGAGAACAGATCTTGCCTCCCCTCTTCTCTACGACAGCCCTCCAAAGATTTGAAACCTGCTGTCATCTCTCCCCTCGGGCTTCTTTTCTGCTTGATAATTCCCATTCCCTAGAAAACCATTTCTGAAATAATCTAAAGTCCGTTTTATTGGAGGAGTGTCAGCAACATAGGCAGAAATTTTGTCTTGCCTCTCTGGACCAAAAATTTATCTCCTCACGTACTCCTCCCCTCTACCTCTGTGCTCACTGAGAACAAGAAGATGATCCAGGTTATATGTTCCGGTGATCACCCCCTTTAACCATTTTTGGAGATTATCACCCAAATGCTCAGCGCTATAGTAGGTCTGTTGAGTGCAAATATATTCCAGCATGTTCTCCTTGTTGGGATTTTTATCTCTGGACTGGCCATGGTGTATTGGGGGAAAAGTATATTAGAACAGAAAAATACAGCCAGCGTAGTGGAATTCTCAGAGAAACAGTAGATCTCTAGAGACCTGGGTTCAAATTTCTACACAGCTATGAAGCTCCTTGGTTGATTTCAGACCAGTCATGTTTCTCAGCTGGTGTCTTTCACAGGACCCAGGGGTAATGGAACCAGGAATCATAGGGTCAAAGCCCCAGGACTTTCTGATCAACAGGGACTGTTATTATAGCCACCCCCCTCGGCCTCCCATATGGATTTCACTTCAGTCTTGGAGGAGGGAAGGAAATGGGTTTTCCAGTGAGTATAGTGTTGCAAACGGTATCCCTGTTGTAATACGAAGGGCTTAAAGGTAGTTCTGTAATGAATAGGTAGTCAGAAGCCATTTGCTTTACAAAAGACCTCCTCCTTGTTTGTTGATAATGGATCAATCCAACTACTTGCATTTTAAAAATTTCCTTGTTGTGAATTGCTGGGATGGCTACGGAGTCTGTCATAATCAGCAGCTGCACTGCTGAATTATCCACTGCACCACTAGAAGCCTTCAACACTAGCTGTGCTGCCTGAAGTTTCTGGACTTCCTCCTCCCTCTATTTTAGTGGTTCCCAAATTTGGGCCCCCAGATGTGAGTTTCTGGACTTCCTCCTCCCTCTATTTCAGTGGTTCCCAACCTTGGGCCCCCAGATGTTCTTGGACTAAAAACTCCCAGAAGCCCTCACCCCTAGCTGTGATGGCTGGGGTTGTCCTCCAAGAACATCTGGAGACCCAAAGCTGGCAACCACTGCTCTACTAGATCGTGCCTATCTTAATGCAGTTGTGTGCCGTTCTCTACTAGATCATGCCTATCTTAATGCAGTTGTGTGCCGTTTGACTGGGTTGCTGCCTATGGGCTGAAGCTACAGGAAGCCAGATTTAGGCTGAATAACAGGAAAAAACTTCCTAACTGTTAGAGCAGTACAACAAGGGAGCCCATGACCTCGGGAGGTGGTGAGCGCTCCATCTCTGGAGACCTTCAAGAGAAAATGGGTCAGATCTGCTTTGGCTTGGATTCCTTCCCTTGAGCAGGAAGTTGGACTCGGTGGCTTTCTAGCCTCTTTCCAGCTGCATTATTTCATGATTCTCTTCCAGAGTTGGGCCAGAGGGAAGTTGTTGTAGAAGGCAGTAAGGAAGCACTGCCCTCAAAACTTGTTAGTTTAAGCCAGCGATTGCTTTTGTGTCCATCTGGTGTTCTTTCTGGCCAAGGAATGGTGACAAGGAAAGCTCAGGAACCGGGAAGGCCGATGTAGACTTTTAATAAAATCTTTTTCAAAAGAGAGGCACGCGAAGTCCAGCCTATCGAGGGAGCTTTGTGCACCTCCACAGTTGAGAAAAGCTCCTTTCCTTGAACTCTGTAACTCCCCGGCACACCCTAGCCAACATGGTGGCTGGGAGCTATAACCCAGGAAAGGGTAGCTGTTCTCAACTCTGGCTCATGATGCACAGCAAATCTTAAAAGGGCAGAGAGAGAGATCCTGCTCTCTGAGGCTGACGTCTGCTTTTCTAACTCTAAAGTCAGCCCTTGCTTGAAAACTTTTTGTCAGTCGATAAGCGGAGGAGGCGAGAGAAGGAAGGGTAAGAGGGGGGCTTTTTACAGATGCCTGTTGTTGAAAGTCTCTTCTAGACTTTTCCCAGGTCCCTCTTTCTTGGTTTAGACCAGCAATGTGAGCAGAAGCCTATGAATCTGGGACTTTTCCCATTCCACATGTCACTTCAAGCTTGTCAAGGAGCTCTGTTATGACCTGCTGTTGTTCATTTTTTTTTTCCTATCCTGCCCCCCACCCCACATTCTTGGCAGCCTTTCCTCAATGTCTTTGCCATCCTTATATGCCATCTCTGACGTCGCCCTGACCTTCAGAGACGGTCCAGAGCTTACCGGGAGCTTGAGGAGGATCGTGGGGAGGGGGGGACCCTGTCCCAAGATCCGTACCTCTGCCGGAAAGTGGGGGGGCTCACCCATGTGGTCCTGCCTTTGGAGCTGGAAGCAGAATCGTTCCCCCTGGTGCTCTCCTTTGGAAGGGGGGGCGATCCGAGCACTTCCAAAACGGAAGGCACCCATCAGGATCCAGCTTCTGCACTGAGCTTCGTGCAGGAGGATTGACTGACTGGCCATCCTCACCCTGGCGCCGTGCAGTGAGTAAAACTGCTGGCACTCCTTATTTTTTTTCTTCCCATTTTATCTCCTCCTGGGGGGGGGATCTTAAACACCCCTATTCTTCGGCTTTCTCCTCCTACCAAAGCGAAACAAGAGCCAAATTTCGTGGTTTTGGACTCTGTGCGGGTGTTAGTGGTGGTTGAGTCCCACCTGGCTCTTATTTCACAGCAAACAAGTCAGCCTTGTGGATTTTGGAAGGGGGTTCTCTCTCTCTCTCTCTCTCTCTCTCTCTCTCTCTCTCTCTCTCGCACACACACACACACACACACACAAAATCTTATCTGCCTTCACTTCATTTTGTGGTTGGAAGGCTGGAATCCGCTGCCCCATTTACCTTGAATGACCTTTCCTCAGAAAGGAAGAGGGAGTTAAGGAAGGCGCCTCTTGTGTTTTTCTCTTTTTTTCTCCTCCCCACCTCTCTGTTTGGATTTGATATAAGTCATTAAGACACACACACACACACACACACAGAGAGAGAGAGAGAGAGAGCGCTCCTAGATTCCACCAAAAGTTCCCAAACAGTGTCTCACTGGCCAAAAAGCAGGAAAAGAGATCACAATAAAGAGTGCCGCCTTCAAACAACAGCGTAGCTTCTCGTTTCTTTTCTTCGCGATTTTGCTTTCTCTTCCCTCTCCTCTCGAGCAAGTGGGAAAAGCTTTGCTTCCTTCCAGAGGCCAGCAAGGGTTTTTCCCCCCCTATCCTCCGCAGCAGGAGCCGCTCACAAGCGGAGCGTGCCTTCCACGTTTGCTTAGCCAAGACGGAGGGGAATCGTATCCTAGACCTGAACTGTTTTACGAGCCGCCCGCTTGGGTCGGTGCCTCGCCGATTACGCACAAGCCGTAGATTTATCACCACCCCAGGGAAAGGAGGGGGGGTAGAGAGAGAGAGCCGTCTCTTCAATCTAGCTTGGCCGCAAGACAATCCCTCCCGTTTCCTTGCCCATCCAAACAGGTTTTAGGGATTTGTAGGCGTCCTTCCAAACTGGGACCAGCAGGACGTCTGCCAGAACAAATGGGGGATTTATGATGCAGAAGGTTTTGAAGCGTTGCCTGTGGAGAAATTGGTCCCAGGTTTGAAAGTTCTTGGTGGCTAGGAAAACCTGTCCAGTCTAAAGGTGGGAAAGGGTGCAAGGTGTGAGCTTTGAACCAGAGAGAGCAAGCCCCTGCTTCTGAACCCACCCTAGAGTTTTAGCTCTCTGCCCACCCCAGATGCCCTCCAACCTTCATAGAGTCATAGAATAATTGAGCTGGAAGAGTCCTATAAGATGGTTGTCCAGTTTTCTCTCTCACCACCTCCTAAAGTCATGGGTTGTATTGTCATATTGCTCTAACCATTAATAAGTTTTTCTATGATATTCAGCCTAAATCGGGCTTCCTTGTAGCTTGTGAGCCCACGATTACTGGGATGATCAAGAACAGATCCTGCCCCTCCTCTGTAGGACAGCCTTCCAAGGATTTGAAAAGTGCTCTCGTATCTCCCCCTCAGTCTTATTTTCCCAAGGCTAAGCCTGCCCAGTTCTTTCCGCCTTTCCCCGTAGGACATGTTTTCCAGCCCCCTGATCCTCCTCGTCGCCCTCCTCTTTACTTCAGTTTGTGCCCATCCTTCCTAAAGAGTGGGGTCCAGAACCGGACACCGTGCTCTAGATGAAGCACAACCAGTGCTGAATAACACTGTTCCTTCTGCTGTATTCAACTGGGCACCCGCTTACCTGCTTTGTTCCCTTTCCTCTAGGACTGGCCGTTTGACGATGGAGCGCCACCACCCACCAAGATTGTGGACGACTGGCTCAACCTGCTGAAGACCAAGTTCTGTGAAGACCCTGGCTGCTGCGTGGCTGTTCATTGCGTGGCTGGCCTGGGGCGGTAAGTGAAAGCTTCCTTGATCTCGAGAGGTTCCTGCGATGATGCTGCCACCTGTTTTCAAGACTCCCCTGAGCTGGGGATTGTTAAACCATTACTCTTGGGAAGATCATTTGTGAAGTCCAGACAGCAGCAGAAGTCAGGGTGGGACAGTATTGCCACTGGCCTTATCCCTTAGACCAGTGGTCCCCAACCTTGGGCCTCCAGATGTTCTTGGACTACAACTCCCAGAAGCCTTCACCCCCACCTCTGCTGGCTAGGATTTCTGGGAGTTGAAATCCAAGAACATCTGGAGGCCCAAGGTTGGGGACCACTGCTGTAATACAATGGTCCCCAATGTTGGGCTTCCAGATGTTCTTGGACTACAACTCCCAGAAGCCTTCACCCCCACCTCTGCTGGCCAGGATTTCTGGGAGTTGAAGTCCAAGAACATCTGGAGGCCCAAGGTTGGGGACCACTGCTGTAATGCACAGCTTGGCCTGCAAGAACCTTCTGTTCCTGCTGTAGGAGGAACCTGAAATTATTGCGAAGAGTTCCACAGCAGAGGTGGAAGATTTTAGCATGGCCGTAGGAGTTGGGCAGTTGTCCAAAGCGTTTATCAATCTCCATCTCTGTTCCAGAGAGGCACCATGGCTAGGTGGTTAGCAGAATCGTAGAGACTGAATCCTTGTGACTGTAGGCTAACTCCACCCCATACTGGTGTTTATACCAGGGTAAGAGCAGCTTCAGGGAGAGAGGGGCTTGCAGAGAAATGCTCTCTGCAAATCCAACCTGTCGCTGGAATGGGTGCATCAACCTGACTTCAGTTCAAACTAAATTTCTTTGAAAAAGAGACAGTTCCCACATACAGCTGTGAAATTCTGGGGCAAGCCTGCAAGCCTGTTCTGGGTCTAGGTGTTTTCACTTCCCTGTGCTCGTACATGTTTTGCCTCAAATGTGGAGGAAGGCACTATGTGGGACCTTTATATTCTAAATTGAAAAAGTGACCGCTAGGCTTCAGGAGGTGGGACGGTAACTGGGCAGTTAAAGCTGTGCAGCTTCTCCATCCGGCTGAGTCCACCCATGGGTGGTGGATTGTGGCTTCAACTGACAGCTGTTAAATAAAGGTTTATTAGATGATAATCTCTTGGGTGCTTTCGTGGTGGTTTCCTTCTTCAGTAGAGGCTGAACTTGATGACACACAGACAGGTCCCTTCTAAAAGCTTCCGTCTGATTGCTAGTCCTAACGAGAGTAGACCCACTGAAGGGTAAGCCAGTACTTGCGTAAATGCTACTAATTTGATGGGTCTAATCTCTGCTGGCTAGAGGCCAGGTCAACCATCCCCAGTCTTTTTCCTCTCTAGATTATGCTGATTTATCTCACCTATAAGAACTTATGGATAGCTCAGTGGTTTAGGCATGGTTGGGAGCTGATTGCTAGTCCTAACGAGAGTAGACCCACTGAAGGGTAAGCCAGTACTTGCGTAAATGCTACTAATTTGATGGGTCTAATCTCTGCTGGCTAGAGGCCAGGTCAACCATCCCCAGTCTTTTTCCTCTCTAGATTATGCTGATTTATCTCACCTATAAGAACTTATGGATAGCTCAGTGGTTTAGGCATGGTTGGGAGTTCGATTCCCCATGCTGATTTATCTCACCCATAAGAACTTCTGGATAGCTTAGTGGTTTAGGCATGGTTGGGAGTTCGATTCCCCGCAGCGCCTCATTGAAAGGAGCTGGGTTCGATGATGATGATGATGATGATTAGTATTAGAAAAGGAGCTGGGCTCGATGATGATGATATTATTAGTATTAGTAGTAGTATTTGTAGTATTAGTATTAATATTAGTAGTATTAGTATTAGTATTAGTATTGTTGTCGGCATCGTCTTATTATTATTATTATTATTATTATTATTATTATTATTATTATTATTTATTATTACTACTACTATTACTATTACTATTACTATTACTATTATTAAAAATATGCCAAAATGACAGGCACAATCAGTCAAAATTATAAAAACTTTAACTAGTATTATATAACAGGCACAAGTTTTAACCCAAAACCAAAGTGTATGTTCAATGTTGTCACAGTATGTCTGCTGGCCCTAATATTGCCGTTTTTTGTAGCTCTGGGGGGTGTTGTCTCTGAGATCTGCCTATCATTGTTGTTATTCAAAAGCACCAGACATAGTCAAATCAAAATTATGAAAATATTATCATCATCATCCTCTCAAACATTATCCCTGTCGTGTGCACTCAGTTTAGCAGTCCAGCCTATGAGGCGCCATCTTGAACGACAGTTAGTCGAGGTGCTGAAGCTGAGGATGTTTGCACCCAGTATGGGTGAAGCTTTGCACTTCCCTGCCTGGCCCGCGGACGGTCCTCCAAAACCAGACAGGACTTGCTCAATGCACACACCTGATGTCTCGCCCTTCTCACTTTCCTCTCTTTTCTAGGGCTCCTGTCCTTGTCGCGTTGGCCCTGATCGAGAGCGGGATGAAATATGAAGATGCCATTCAGTTCATTAGACAGTAAGTGTCCCCTCTTGACTTCTCCCAGTTAAGCTCTGAGCTGCCTGTACAGGTTATAATCGTGGTATATGCGTGTTCTGCTATAATCCAGCAAGACTTCCCTGGTGTTGGTGGAATCCACAGTCACATGCCTCCACCCCTTGCGGTCTGAAAGGGTGCATTGTCAGGAGATCTTTAAAAAAGAAAACTTCAGGTTTTTTGTTGTTGTTGGTTAGTCGTTAAGTCGTGGAGAAGAAAAGTTAGCTCACTCCCTTAAAGCTCAGCATGCAGTTCTTTTTTGCATAGAGGGGGATTCTCCAGCTGGGCATTCAGTCACATGCCTCCACCCCTTGCGGTCTGAAAGGGTGCATTGCCAGGAGATCTTTAAAAAAGAAAACTTGAGGTTTTTTGTTGTTGTTTAGTTGTTAAGTCGTGTCCGACTCTTCGTGACCCCATGGACCAGAGCACGCCAGGCCCTCCGGTCTTCTACTGCCTCCCGGAGTTGGGTCAAATTCATGTTGGTCGCTTCGCTGACCCTGTCCAACCATCTCGTCCTCTGTCGTCCCCTTCTCCTCTTGCCTTCACAGTTTGCCAACATCAAAGTCTTTTCCAGGGAGTCTTCTCTTCTCATGAGATGGCCAAAGTATTGGAGCCTCAGCTTCAGGATCTATCCTTCCAGTGAGCACTCATGGTTGATTTCCTTTAGAATGGATAGGTCTTCGGCGGTCAGCCTTCTTTATGGTCCATCTGCCACCCCATGAGGAGGAAGTTTTCAGTGTGACCCGGGCATCATTTTCCAGCAGATAGGGATAGAGGGAAGGACTGAAATGAACTCTGATACCCAGTGCAAACTGGCCGAGCAGAACAGCCAGGGATTACAGCCCATCTGGCTGAACCGCTCAGCTTGCACTTTAAAAGTTTTGTGTATCTGTGTGTGTGTGCGCACATGTGCACGCATGCGCCCCTTTGGAGCCAGCTCTCCTTGCCAGCTGCAGCCCTGGGGGGTTTGCTCTCGATCCCTCCTCTAATCTCTTTAGCACTTTCTGTTCCAGCAGGAGAGTGGGGCTGTTCTGTGCCCTGTCTGCTCTTGGCAGAGGCGCCTCTGCACATTGGAAGGGGGCGGGCAAGAATCAAGCAGTCCCACTGCTCCATGCCTTCATCCTCTCTCTGCAGCTGCTTGGAGTGTCTCATCCTCAGTTACTCCGGAAGGAGGGAGGGACGGACAGACGGAAGGAAGGACAGAGGGGGGATGGAGGGCGGAAGGAAGGAAGTTGCTGATGATGGAAGGAAGGAGGGAAGGACAGATGGAAGGAAGGAAGGAAGGACGAGAGGAAGGAAGGACGGACGGACGGACGGAGGGACAGGAGGGATGGAGCGAGGCTAGACGGATGGACGGACGGAACCTACCTTTCTTTGACAAGGTGACTCCAAGCAGCTTGCCATGTTAAAAAAGTAGAATTAAAAACACAATAAATTATACATTTTAACTTATCATAGCAATTAAGATACATTGAGCGATGAAAAACATTTAAAATTCTTAAAAACTCACCTAATCATCTTCTTATCTGAAACCCATTAAAAGGATTAAGATTCAGCACAAACAAAACCAGCATTTTGTGATCCATATACATTATACAGACTAGAGCAAACGTGTGCAGTTCTTCTCCAGCTGTATTGAACTGGATCCAGTCTTGCCAGAGGCACAAGCACTAGCGTGGGGGTGATGGTGGTGGTGGTATTAAAACGCCCCCAGCTCCAAGCTCTAGAGAACCTTCCTTCAACCGGACCTCTGGCTGCGGAAATGTGGGCATGCCTGAAAATACAGTGAAGCAACCATTAAGTGCAGGCCAGTCTTTCCTGGACGTTTTTTTGAGTGAAAACTGCCATTGCACAGGGACTGATGCCCAATGCCCCATCCTATGTTACAACATTGCGGGGAATATTTTTTGTGTGTGTCCTTGTGGAATTGTAGCTACAGACAAGCCGGCTTTTACTAAGCAGGCGTGACTCGTATTGAGCGGCTCGGCCTTTGTGTTTATTAGTTACATTCTTAATACCCTGTTAGTTCTTCTTCGTGGTCTCTGAATGCGCACAGTTGGGTTATACTGCACCTACGCAGGACCTCTCGGAAACTTCTAGAGCTTAAAGATATGTAATTAGTGGGACGTTCCCTCATGTTAGGAAGAAGTGTGAGGGCAAGGAAGAAGGGGATGACAGAGGACGAGATGGTTGGACAGTGTCATCGAAGCTACCAACACGAATTTGACCCAACTCCAGGAGGCAGTGGAAGACAGGAGGGCCTGGCACGCTCTGGTCCGTGGGGTCACGAAGAGTCGGGCATGACTTAACGACTAAACAACAACATACATATATGATGCATGTCCCACTGGTGGGACAGAGAGATTCTCTGTGAGGTGTAGGTTTATCCAAACAGTGACAAAGATTTCACTCTCTCATGTCCTCTTACGAAGTTGGTGCATCATCACCACCTACCAGCCACCCATGACCTTCCGGTATGCTTAATGGCAACTTCAGTCATTCTTAATTCCCTGTTTCCTACCGCCTTGCTTCCTGTTAACCCTAAATAAGAGAATTCAGATGCATGTCCTTCTTGGAAAAAGAAGTCATTTTGTTTCTTTCTCCTACAACTTGTGTGTTCTTCATTAGGGGGGTTGGTGAGACATAGAATACCAAAAGTTGAAAACCTTTGCTCATGAAGGTAATAAGGAAAGCTGGCTGGAAGTCGCGAGAAGGGATTCACAAGAAGCTCACTGGCTTACCCAAAAGGCACATTGACCCTATCCTGGTTGCCCCTTCCAGTGGGTTGCCTCCTGGAGACACTGTGTCCAGTTTTGTGACCGCAAATCCACATGATCTGAAAATATCCCCAAAATCTTCTACAAGAAGCAGGGGTTGGAATGGAAGAGGATTCCAGAGTCTTACTGAATAGGGTTTGTGGGTTTTGTTTTGTTTTTTGGCATTTTTCAAAACCGGTTGCAACAAGAAGCGTACCCAGCCAGTCAGCATTCACACATTGGCAAAACTTCCTCCACATATTGGAAAAACAGTGCACAAAAAATGGGGGAAGTGTGTGCATTTGTGAGAATACCAGAACAATGAAGAGACATGAAATGCATAAAATGCATAAAATTGTAGCCTGCATAATTAACTTGGAAACCGCCCAGAGAGTGCTTGAAGCACTATGGGGCGGTATATAAGCAGCACGCTTTGCTTTTTTTGCTTTTGGTTTAGAGTCTTCCAAAAGCATTGTCGGTTTCCCCTCTGCGTGGGCAAAAGGGTTTTTTTGCTGGAAGTGCTAATACTTCCCCCTTCCCTCCTCTGCTTTTAACGTCCCCTTCCGTTTTCTCCCGCTAGGAAACGCCGGGGAGCCATCAACAGCAAGCAGCTGACGTACCTGGAGAAGTACCGTCCGAAACAGCGGCTCCGATTCAAGGACCCTCAGAACCATAAGAACAAGTGCTGCATCATGTAATAACCTCAGTCATAGCCTGTTGCCAAAACACACACACACACATACACAAGGGGGAGGGGACACACAAATCTATACCATTACACAACACACAGACTACATGCAGCTTGACCTCTGAACCCGTAGGCGACCTTGGTGCCACAGCTATTCTTGGCGGTCCGGATTCCCTTAAGTTTCACCCAAATCTCAGCAAACAAAAGGCATCTGAGTGCCGATCTCTTTAGCTTCCACTGGGTAGGAAATGATCCCGGTTCCTCTTGTCCTTTCTCAGGCACACCTCTTGGTGTTGAAATAATACACCCATGTTCCTGTTGCTCCGCCAGGGCTATGGTAGGCAGGAAGGGGAAGTCTGCAGCCAAAGCAGGGGGAAATTCCATTTTAGGGGACTGCAGCGAGTGGCCCTACTGGAGGGGGATTCTGGGAGTTGTAGTCCAATGGCAGCTTTTCTATATTGGGTCTCGATCCCGGTTCTACCTCTAGATTGGGGCATGGTTGGATTTTCAGAGGGAAGGAATTGGTGGAAGTGCTTAAGAGAAGGAGGGGAGGGTTGGTGGGCCGGGGGTGGGGCCGCTAGGAGCACCACTGATAGACTGCTCTTTGCCATGCATGGTTTGGTCCCACCCCATCATTGTGAAAAGCCCAGGAATGGGAGCAGAGAGGCGTTATCCACCTCCACCCCCTAGTTTGGAGGGCTAGAGTGAAGTTGTTGCTTTGGTTGTGCATCAGGGAAAGAAAGGGCCACTCGGTTAGAAGTCCCTGTGCTTCTGCTTTGGGGTTCCTTTGGTTTCCCTTTGACAATCTATAGATCCACCTCTACCTCTGGCTTGAAAAGACTTACCTGATCTCCAGATGCCTTTTGCAAGGGTGTGGTTGATGGGGAGAAGTTTAGAGAAATTACTTGGGTGGACTCCTTCTCCCAGTACCTTACCATCAGCTGGTAGCTTTAGCTGGTGGATCTGGGAATAGACAGTCCAAAAGAGAAAGAGCATCATTTCCAAACGCTGGAATGTGAGCTTCTCTTTGATCCAAGAGCAGAAGAGTTAAGACCTGTGTAAAATTGGGTTTGGATGCTGGAAATGGACAGAGTAGAAGCAGGGTTTTGACCCATTCCTGTAGGACTGGATGTCACCTTCCGCATGCATTTTTTTGCTGTTTACGCACACGTGCAGAGCCCTTAAAAGACATACGCTGCCTAGCCTTCGGCAGTGCTTGTGGGGGGGGGACTACTTTCTTGGACTATGTATCCCAGAATCCTCCATGTACCACTGGACTGCAGAGCTCATCATCTTCCATCCAGCAGAGCCACTGACCGTGCGGGCTGGTCTGGCATTTGTAGTCCAAAAAAAGAAAAGAAAGAAAGTAGTTTTCCCATGTTCTAAACCTGAAAAAGCCGATGTGGTGTAGTGGATAGTGTGATGGACTAGGACAGTGGTGTCGAACTGCGGCCCTCCAGATGTTCTTGGACTTCAACTCCCAGAAGCCTTCACCGCCACCTCTGCTGGCCAGGATTTGAAAAAAAAGAAAAAAAGAAAGAAAGCAGTATTCCCATGTTCTAAACCTGAAAAAGCCGGTGTGGTGTAGTGGATAGTGTGATGGACTAGGACTTAGGAGTACTGGGTTTGAATCCTGTGTCCCATTCCTGATTGACCTGCGCCAGCCAGTTGGAGTGCCCAAGGGTTAATGGGGAGGGATAATCTGAAGCAGGAAAAGGAGTTGCGAACTTCAGGAGTCCTATGCAGCAGGCAGTTCCACCAGTGCAGTCGTGAGGCTAGTTGCACTTTTAGGTATGCAAAGCAGGAAGGTCAGGGTGTAAGTTGACATGCATAACTTGACGCTATACCAAGAGCAATAGTTTTTCAGTCAGTATATCATAAATGCTCCTCCAAAACTAAACCATCTGCAGTACAAACTTAATCTCAGCAAATATAACTAAGAAGGGTCTTGGGGCATCGTGAAGACAACCAAGTTTTACAGTGGTGCCTTGCTAGATGATGATAATCCGTTCCACTGAGATCGCTGTTTAGCGAAATCATCCTCTAGCAAAAAGCATTTTCCCCATTGGAATGCATTGAAACCTGTTTAATGCATTCCAATGGGGAAGAATCATCGTTGTCTAGCGAAGATCGGCCAGAGGAAAGCCACTTTGTGAACCGCCGATCAGCTGTTTAAATCGCTGTCTTGCGAAGCTTAGGTCCCGAAAACACCTGTTTTGCAAGGAGCGGAGGAAGCTGTCAGAATCGTCATCTAGCAAAAATCAATTTGCGAAGCAGGGACCAAATATTGTCCAGCAAAATTCCCCCATAGTAATCAGTGTTTTGCGAATCGCTATAGCGATCGCAAAAAGTCAATGTCTAGCGAAAAAACTGTCATGCGAGATAACTGTCTAGCGAGGTACCACTGTACTTGGCATAAGACCACATTAGTAGCACAGCAAAGTTGTAGCCAGCCCTTTTCCTTGCTACCTAGATTTCTGAGTGCAGAGAGATCTGGGAAGGAAGGGATTTATAGACAAGACATAGAATCAGAATGTTTTGAGTTGGAAGGGACCTAGAACCCATTGCCTCCAGCCTCTTCTTCAAGGCAGGAATCCAAATCAAAGCAGATATGGTGTCCCCATTTCCTCTTGAATGTCTCCAATGTTGGAGTGCTCGCCGCTTCCCGAGGTCATGGATTCCATTGTCGTACTGCTCAAACAGTTAGGAAGCTATTCCTGATAGCCGGCCAAAAATCTGGCTTCTTGTAACTTGAGCCCTTTGTTGTGCGTCCTGCACTCTGGGATGATCAAAAACGGATCCTGCCTGCCCTTTCAAGTCTTTGAAACGTGCTATCAGGTCTCCCTACAGTCTTCTTTTCTCAAGGCTGCCCTTGCAAGTCTTTGAAATGTGCTATCAGGTTTCCCTACAGTCTTCTTTTCTCAAGGCTAAACTGGCCCAGTTCTTTTCAGCTGTCCCACTGACACTTAAGCCAAAAAGCGAGAGGCGAAGAGTAAGTGAAGGAAGACGTTTCCAGTAGATGTCCAAAGGTCTTTAATTGAGCGGTGAGGCAACCCGTTTGAGGATTAAGAATGTATATGCCGTGTGCTTACTGTACAGAGGGAGCGAAACCTGCAGCTATGAAACTAGTGAAGTATGCGCAACCTTTGGGGAAAGAGTACAGAGAATGAAGGAAATAGTTTGCTCCCCCCCCCTTCCCGCCGCCTGAGTGCCCATGAAGAAATCTTGGTAGACATAGAGAGAGCCATTTTCGGAAGAAAGCTCGACACACACACCCCCAGGAGAAAGCAGGCTAATCATGTTTTCTCGACCACTCCTAGGCTGTGAAGAGCATCTGGAAGCTGCAAAAGCTTTTACTGAGCCCGGCTGTCCCGGGAGCATCTAAGGTTACACCTGGCGTGCGGCTGTTTTGTGTTTCGATTAAACGAACGAGATGTTATTAAGGATTTTTAAAACGCTTGTCCTTGCGGAGCTGTCTTGTCAGGTTGCCTTCCGAGATGTGGAACAGCCGCAGAGCGGCTTCGCCCGTCAGCTGTAGGCAAGGCCACGCCAACGCCGTGCAGGGAGAAAGCCTTCCCCTTTGCTTTTGTGACTTCTCTGGTCGATCACGTGGCAGCCCCAGGCTGTCCCAAACGGAGATTTCACAAACCGCGAGAAGCGGGGCGGGTTGTTTACCGAGCTTTCTTTGGGACAAGCCCACGGAAGAGAAATCGGGAATGGGGAAGAAGTCAAAGCAAGGACCCCCTTCCTGTGACCCACAGAAAATGGCTTTCTATAGTCCAGCTCAGCCATTCTCAACCTCTCTCTTTGGCCACGCTCGTAAACACTAAACAGTGTGAAATAAATAATAGGACGAATCGGGATTGTATAAATGGCATAACAAATCTTATAGGTTGGTGTGGGGGGAAATTGTTTCCAGTCTCTGCCCCCTCCCCTTTCAAAGGTGCCAGGGGGCTCTGTGGCCCCCATTGAGAATGGCTGGTAGCTAGACTTTCCCACTTCTCTTTTTAAGATAACGAGTTTTTCTCTTATTTTTGCCTGGTTAAAGGTGGCCAGTGGACCCCTGGAACCTCTGCAGGAAAGGTGTCTGCTCAGAGGAAGCTGCTCCAGGCCAGTGTCTTCCCAGTCCATTGGACTACAGTTCCCATTATCCCCATTTAGTATCCACCAGCACACCTAGAAAGCAAAAGTGAAGCATGCTGCTGACATACCGCTCCAGAGCGCTTAAAGCACTCGGGCTTGTTTACAGCAAGCTGCACTCTGCCCCCCACCCTAGCAAGCTGAACATTCAGTTTACTGACCTTTGAAGGATGGAAAGTTGAGTGAGCCTCGAGCCACCCACCTTGGATTGAACCTGGATTATGAGCAGAGTTTTGGCTGCACAGCTGCAGTTTAGCTACTGTGCCACGAGCCAAAGACAGGCCTAGAAAAATCAGTCATTAAAAATAAATATTCCGTCTCTCCCCGTTAAACTACCCCAACTTTGCTGGCAGTTTTTAAAAAAAGAACCCAATTTCAGTTGTTAACTGCTAATAGTGTAATTTTTGAGTGAGCAGATTGAAATTTCTTAATGACTGCAATCTGCTGATGGCCTTTTTAGATCATTTTTAAATGCTTTGAAAAAAAAATCTGAGAATCAAGTGAATTAAGAAAGATAAGAATGAACCTAGTAATATTGACGCTTCCACGGGAAAGGAGGAGATAAATGCATTCCAGTGTCAGTGGGCCTGCCTTACCCCTTAACAGTCTCCAAACTCTTGGGCTTAGAGATGAGGAACCCAACGATGCTTCACCATTGATTAAAGAACTGGTAGATTACCATATTTTTCCATGTATAAGACGCCCCCCACTTTTCTAACCCAAATGTAAGAAATCTAAGTGGGACTTAGCAAGTGTAGGGGGAAAGGGATCAAGGCCCTGCAGGATCACTTTGATCCCTACTTTTCCTTCCACTTGTTTTTGTTCTCAGCTTACTTCCGTGTATAAGATGACCCTCAATTTTTATTCTAAAGATTTTAGACAAAAGTACAGTCTTATACATGGAAAAATATGCTACTTTTCCTTGGGAGAAGACAGGCTGCTTCCTTCCCCATCTCATGAGATAGTTTTAAGGAAAGCATACATTGGAGACACTCCTTTCACGTCCACACACAGAGAAGGCACGGAACGACTGTGCAAGTGTGTCCTGGAAGGAAAGGAAGACTCTTCCTTCTGCCCCAGTAGATATATCGAACAGAAGCCAAAGGCTGGAACCAGCTCTTGGTGTTAGTCCTGGTTTTATTTAAGAGCTACCGTGCATGCCCTTCGGCTTCTGTGTTGGCCACTGTCTCTAGCAGCAGACATTCATGTTCCAGGTTCTCTTGAGTCATGCCTCACACCCATTATGGCCGGCTACCAGTGCTCCTGTTCACATTAGCCCTGCCCACGCATACCTTGGGGGGAACTTTGGCTTATCTCCCTTTCTGCCTCCTGTTGGGAAGGGTGAGGAGGGATCCCGGAGGATTTCTAACTCCATTTGTCTGGATAAACCAGAGATCTCTCACAGCTGTGTGAGATGAGGGATGTGTTTCCCATCCACACCATGTTTTATTTGAGTTAAACTCTTAAAGACACAGATCTCTCTTGAGACACATTGCGGTCAGATGGGGTATGGAGTCCAGTGTTTGGTCTGCTGTGGGGTTGGGTTGGTTTGCTCCTTTTTCTGGCAATCACACAATGTAATTGTTGGGGCAAACCAAACCATCACTAGAGCGTTCCTACCCACCTCTTTCTGAGAGCCTCAGCAGAGCTTTCTGCATTTTTGACGCATGTAGAATCGTTTTCTAGTACGTATGATTGCTGGGAACGGGCCAAAAGTGTGCCTTCTTGCCATCAAGGCTTCCAGTTGGAATTTCCAGTGGTGTCAAGTGGCTTAATAAGTGAGTCACTTCAGGATAGCAGCAAAGTGAACACTTCTTTTACTCCTTAATGGAGGGGTGAAGGAAGTTGGGGGGGGGTTAGATTAAACCATTGGTGACATGGTGCAGTGCATCAGTGACAGTCTACTGCAGTCTAAAAAAATAATTCACTTCCTCTGCTCCGAGGGGCACAGAAAGCGTTCAGTTTGTCAATATCCTGAAGTGACTTGCTTGTTACGCCACTTCACAATATCAGATATTTCCACTGGAAGGAGGTGGACTGGACCAAAATTGGATCAATAAGCCATTTGGATGTGAGGATTGTACCAAATGTCATGTCAACCTGACACTTAAGAGCCCGCACCAACTCAGTCCAAAGGAGCCTCTCTGATGGCCACCCTCTCACGACTTTGTTTGGAAAGGGGGCTCAGCTCTTCTGAAATTTGGATTCCACTAAATTTCAGTGCAAAAAAGCCATTGTTTTTCCCCCCAAGAGCAGTGCCAGAACTACAGCTACTTCTGCTTGAGACAGGATCAAGAGATAAATGTTTTCCTGAGATTGGACCGTGTCAGATCATAGGCCAAGATTTAGTAAGACTGCATTTTTATATCTATAAAAGGTGCTCTGCTTTCTGAGAAAACAAAATGGAGCTAGGCTCCTCACCTTGATTATGTTCTTTTTCCTCGGTGCTGAGCATCTTTTTCCCCCCACTGCCAACTCCAGAAGGTGTTGTCCAGGGCAGGAATGACTAGTCTAGGAGGTCATGACTCCCATTTCCGGTTCTCCTTTCTTCCTGCCTCTTTAACGGGGAGAAAATTGCTCCCCTCTTCTAAGTGAAGCCGTGAACCCCGTTTGTATTTCACCGCCATGGATGAAATCTTCAGTCCTACCTCCTTTCCCTCATCTGTGGCACTGGGTCGTCAAGAGGCCAAAGGTTCAAGCCTACGAATGCCAGACAGACCTTGGAGAAGCTGAACCTTGAATCCCTCGTTAAGAGAGATTCGGAGTTGTAGAATTACCGAGATCTGCCTGGGATCATAATTTCAAAAGCTTCAGCCCTCATCTATGGGATGCCAGTGTTGCAACAAAGCCTAGCCAGTCAGGGGGTTGCCGTTCTTGTCTTTCCCCTGAGTGTAAAACCCCAAATTTTATAAAAACAAGCAAACCTACCTTGCTTCCGTTGATGTTCTTCCCTGGACCACACATACCTTTCTTTAAATCCTCTTTAGGTCCCTTGACAACCCATCATGGCGCATCATGTCTTCAGGCTTTGAATTGACAGGCTCAGCCAACCAGAGACATACCAGCATTTTTAATAGCCTTATAGTGTGGAAATCTTGAATTTAAAAATAAAAGCCTGTGTGTGTATCCTTGAGCTGGAAGGACTTTTGGGCGGGGGGGGGGGTCACGAAAGATGTAATAACAAAAAAAAAAATTTGTAATGCCTTCCTGCTTTGTGTTGGTGATCTTTTTTCGCTCCCCTCTTCCCAACTTGTAGAGCAAAACTGACTGTTCTGTTGTCGTTTTTCAGACCTCTGTGCTCTGAAAATGCAAATTCGGGGGAATTTTGGACCTCAAAACCTCTTGGCCACCCTTCATTTTGTTCCGATGTGGTTTGTAACACTGTCCAGGAATGTGAAACATGCACTTTGTGGAAGCAAAGACAGCTAGCTGGTCCCTCTAATTAGGATTCGGGATGATGTTCGTTAGGATTTCCTGAAACTTTTCTTTTGTTAAGGCAACTCAGTGAAATATTGTTCAGTGATGTCTGGGTCTTGGGGGGGGGAAAGAACACCTCTCTGTCCATACGCACAAGCCTGATAGGTCTCGGGCATTGAGAACAACCGGTCTCCCTAACCCCACGTCCACAGAAGGAGCAGGTCTAAAGTCCCTTGTTAGTCCCAGGGAATGAAGTACCAAATAGCGAGTCAGCATCACCTACATAAATCTCACCGATTCAGTGGATCTACTCTGGTTGGAAACAGCGATTGGATCCAGGCCCTTATTGTTGTACGATCGACGTAACTTGAATGGCTTTGAAAGGACAACATATGAAGCTCATGAGCCTCCACTCCTTTGACATCTTCAGGCTATTTTAAGAGTGGCTCCTGCAAGAAGGCAAAACGGGAGGAGAAATTCACAACCTCTGCTTCAGTGCTTCCCAACCTTGCCTCCCCAGATGTTTTTGGACTACAACTCCCAGAGGCCTTCATTGCTGGCAAGGGCTCCTGGAAGTTGTAGTCCGAGAACGTCTGGAGACCCAAGGTTGGGAAACACAGCTGTAGTGCTTGAGTAATTCTTTTCCCTATAAACACGGTTCCTCCTGGGCTGGCGACGGGAGCTATTTTGAACTGACTCTCCCACATGTCTCAGGTCATTGTGATGTAGGACCTTTTACAACTCCCAGCTGGTTTGTCTTCTCTTCAACTTTACTAGTTGACTCCTCTGTTTGTTTGCTAATATCTGGCCTTTGACAAAGCTGAACGTTGGCTTTGAGTGATTTTCCCAACTCAACCGACCTGATCCCAATACACCAGAGCACATGGCCCACCTCAGATCATCCGTTTAGCCTGCTAATGGTGTACCTCTTTTCAAATTATTTTTGTCATCTGTGGATGTTGTAACAGCAGCAGTTTCCCCCAAGGGCATTGGGATCAGGTCTTCTCACGAGTCATGTGGCTTAGGAACGCAACCCAAAGCAAGTGTTAAATGCAGTGAGACCCCTGTAACCACAGAATCAGTATCTCATTTATTTGCGGTCTGAAAATATTAAAAAAGGAAAAAACCCAGAAAAAATCTTTTCGCGTGTATTTCCAGAACTGGCCAATAGAGGGAACCAGAGACCATACTATGAATTCTTGTTGGAAGATGCATAACATGGTCTCTGGCGTCCTCTCCTGGCCAGTTCTGGTAATGAATGTGAAATTTTCTTTTCTGAATTTTTTTCTTTTACCATTCTCCATATAGCATTTGCAATTATCCACTTTTCCCCGCATCCACGGGGCAGTGGTGCTTGGAACCATTCCCCTATGGATATGGGAGTGCTAATGTGCAGTATAGTAAGGTGAAGCTGAAAAGAACTTTTAAGAGCGGCTTCAAAAGGGCATCCTGCCTCTTTGCCTAGCCAAGTAGGAGACCACCGCTGTTGCAGGAGGGAGCTGAGCACATCATCCAACCCATAGAATGGTCCTTAGATTTGCACAGTTCTTGAGCGCCAAGGGAAAGAGTCACAAGGAAATGGCTCCCGCATCACTGCCATGGAAAGCAAATTGAACCTTAGCGACCTCACTAACCTGTTGGAAAAAGATGATGTTTTTGTCAAACAAGATTCTAGTCCCTGGTGTGGACTTGAGGGGGAACACTTGCTCCCACGTGCTTCTGCCTGGGTTCAGTGTCAGAAGCACCAATTTGGAGTGAGTTTTCCTTCTGTTTTAAAAGTGTTTTCCCAAAAGAAGCATTGGCTCCCCCTTCCCGTTTCTTCAGCATCATGGTTTTATGTGTCTCCTCCTCCTCTTATGTGCAGTCTCGGTAATTCATAGATGAAGAACATACTGGGATATACAGTTGGTTTTTCTTTTCCTTCTGAGCCATAGCTAAGTTATTACTGTTAATGTTATACGCAGTGCTTTTATATCAGGCAAGGATAAATTTTGGCATATACCAATGAGGTCTAGAATCTTGTCACTTTATAACCTTTTTAAAAAAAAATAAAAATAAGGAAAAATAAAACTTGTCAGTTTTTTGCTCAAGTCCTGTGTAAAACTTTGTGTTGTTTTTTTTAAAATAATCACTCTTGAGTTGTGAAAGGTTTCCTTAAAGTGTACTAAGCTGAATTTTGCTTCCAGCCGTAAAGACAAGGAAAAGTTTTAAAATAAAAAGGCCTCGCTGTTTTGTATGAAAGTGGACAATCCTTTCCCATTTCTAATTTTTCCCTACTGGGGCAGAAATGTACATTATACGTAGCCTGTCATTAGAGTTCAAAGCACGTTGGTGTTGAAGATTACTCGTAAATTGGGCAGAATTTCACAATTGAGAAATCAAACGTAAAAGGAACCCTGTGTTTAAGTACTGAGACCAGTGGCAGAAACCCACTAATATGAGTTTTGGGAAGTTGGGAGAATCCCGCTAATTTGTGAGTGGTCAGAGTTGAGAGAAACTCCTGCTGTGACAATCACCAAAGTCTCACACCTTCTCCTTGGTGTTTTCCAAGGGGTCTCCATTCTCCACCTGCTGCTTCCATTGCCACCTACACCATATTCCGCAGTCCAAACCGTACGTCCCCTTCTCATGATCTCAAACCAATCAGGCTGGTACATGTGAAGGTAAGAACAGCCTTGCTGGATCAGACCAAGGGCCCATCTCTGGTACATGTGAAGGTAAGAACAGCCCTGCTGGATCAGGCCAAGGGCCCATCTAGTCCAGCTATCACCGTGGCCCCACCAGATGCCTCTGGGAGCACACGAGACAAGTGGATGTAGTTGTCATTAAGTCGTGTCCGACTCTTCGTAGTCCAGCTATCACCGTGGCCCCACCAGATGCCTCTGGGAGCACACGAGACAAGTGGATGTAGTCGTCATTAAGTCGTGTCCGACTCTTTGTGACCCCATGGACCAGAGCATGCCAGGCCCTCCTGTCTTCCACTCCCTCCTGGAGTTTGGTCAAATTCATGTTGGTAGCTTCGATGATACTGTCCAACCATCTCCTCTGTCGTCCCCTTCTCTTGCCCTCACACTTCCCCAACATCAGGGTCTATTCAAGGGAGTATTCTAGTCGTCATTAAGTCGTGTCCGACTCTTTGTGACCCCATGGACCAGAGCATGCCAGGCCCTCCTGTCTTCCACTCCCTCCTGGAGTTTGGTCAAATTCATGTTGGTAGCTTCGATGATACTGTCCAACCATCTCCTCTGTCGTCCCCTTCTCTTGCCCTCACACTTCCCCAACATCAGGGTCTATTCAAGGGAGTATTCTCATGAGGTGGCCAAAGTATTGGAGCCTCAGCTTCAGGATCTGTCCTTCCAGACAACTGGATACCTTTCTCCTAATACCCCTCCCTTGCACCTGGCATTTGGAGGTCCCTTCCTTCTAAGCCTGGAGATTGTACATCCCCATCATGGCTTGTCACCTGTGATGGACTTTTCCTCCAGGGATCTGCCCAACCCCCTTTTCAAGGCATCTAAGCCAGATGTCCTCTCACCTGATCCTGTGGCAAGGAGTTCCACAGACGTAACAGCCATTAATAATGTGGGACTAGCATTTAAAGGATCTGTGTTCAAAACACTAGAGCCATGGAAACACTGGGAAACAGACACTCTGGAGACGTTGCATATCTGGGAAACTACGAGAGTCACAAAAAATGACTTAAAAGATATATAATGACAACAGAAAAAGATAAAACATACCACATGTCTGTTGCTTCACACACACAGTTCCCACCTACAAAATGGGGGGGGGGAGAGAGAATGGTCATCTCCCCACACAGGAAGCCTAAAGTCTTAACATGGCCACACAAACCATGAATCTATTCCTGCCTGGACCTGCCCTGGACCACCTCCCCATGTCTGACAGGTGGAGTTTCTGGACTGGAGACCTCCACTGTTCTCTAGCGTTTGTTCCCCTCTCAGCAAGTGGAAAGGTTCTTTCGAGTGGTTTCTGGGGGGGGGGGGGGTGAGAGACAGCTTTTGCCCTTTGTCTTGCGATCTAGAACAATGGCACAAAAGGAACAGGTGAGGAGGTGGGAAAAGGAAAACAAACTTCTGCAAGGCAATCCTTCCATGGTGTGGAAGGCAGGTGAGCAGGGGCAAAGCCAAGTGGATCTGGATTCCCAAGAGGACTGGTCGATGGACTGGTTGTCCTTCCTGTCTCCAACTAAGCTAATTCCGGGGGTCATCTTTCGATGTGATCCTTTGACTTGCCAGCCTTTTTTTTGGGGGGGGGGGATCTGGATAGCACAGGCAGCAGCCAATCGGAAAGGTACTTTGTTCAGGTTGATGGCTGCTGATTGCAGTCGGGTGGAGGCAACTTAGCCACTATGTACGTCCTGGAACCGTTGTAATGAAGCCAGGCTCTGTGTTACAATCAAGGGTGCCTGGCTACAATTCTGCCATATAGTTTGTCCTCTAGAACAGTGGTTCTCAAACTGGGGTCCCCAGATGTTCTTAGATGGCAACATCTGGAAATCCTGGCCAGTACAGCAAGTGGTGAAGGCTTCTGGGAATCATGGGGGGGGGGCAGATGTTCTTGGACTGGGACTCTCAGAAATCCTGGCCAGCAAAGCTGGTCGTGAAGGCTTCTGGGAAGGGCAGTCCCAAGAACATCTGGGGACCCCAGGGTGGGAACCAGAGGCGTAGAGCCCTAGAGAGTTGCTGACGGCAGGCACTTCCTTGACTTATTGCAACACAATAACATCTCTGCTCATATCTAGTTAGAACTTTTTGTTGTTGTTTAGCAGTGTTCGACTCTTCGTGACCCCATGGACTAGAGCACCCTAGGCCCTCCTGTCTTCCACTGCCTCCCGGAGTTGGGACAAATTCACCTTGGCCGCTTTGGTGACCCTGTCCATCCATCTCGTCCTCTGTCGTCCCCTTCTCTCCTCCTGCCTTCACACTTTCCTAACATCAGGGTCTTTTCCAGGGAGTCTTCTCTTCTCATCAGTCGGCCAAAGTACTGGAGCCTCAGCTTCAGGATCTGTCCTTCCAGTGAGCACTCAGGGTTGATTTCTTTCAAAATGGATAGGTTTGTTCTCCTTGCAGTCCAGGGGACTCTCAAGAGCCTCCTCCAGCATCAC